ATATATTTTATGATATATATATTAATTGAGAAATTGATACCAATAACATTTTTATGATACCCTCTTTTAAGAATACCCTCTTTTTTTGCCAATTTCATTTTTGCCCTCTCTTAAATTTAATGGCCATTTTACCCCTAGTTGAAAGAATATTTTTTCCCAAAAAAAGGAATATTCCTTCCAAAACTTTTCCCCCAAAAATTTTCCGCCAAAAAAATTTCCGCAAAAATTTTCCCGCAAAAAAAAAAAAATATACAAGATTTCGCGCCAAATTTTTTAAAGGGTTTACAAGATTTTTTAAGAGGTTTACAAGGGTTTTTAAAGGGATTTACAAGAGATTTTTAAATGGTTTTTAAAAGATTTGTAATGGTTTTTAAAGGGTTTTAGAAGCTTACAAATGTTTTTAAATGGTTTTTAAATGATTTACAATGGTTTTTAAAAGTTTTTATAAGTTTATAACAGTTTTGAAAGGATTTTCAAGGATTTTTAAAGGATTTTAAAAATTTACAAGGATTTTTAAAGGTTTTTAAAAAGGATTTACAAGTGTTTTTAAAAGGACTTACAAGTGTATTTAAAAGCATACAAAGATTTAAAAATAGTTTTAAAGGATTTACAAGGGGTTTTAAAGGTTTTAGAAGTTTACAAAGGTTTTTAAAGGGTTTACAAAAGTTTTTCAATGTATTACAAGTTCTTTAAAATGGTTTTTAAGGATTTACAAGGGTTTTTAAAGGGTTTTAGAAGTTTATAAAAGTTTTTATTAAATGATTTATCACGGTTATAAGAGGATTATAGGGATTTACAAGTGTTTATAAATGTTATAAAATGATTAACAATGATTTTAAAATGATTACTCAAGCTTTGAAAGGTTTTAGATGACTTTTAAAAGATTTACAAGGTTTTTTAAAAGATTTTTTAAGGAATTGCGGAAACATTTTGGCGGGAAAATTTATGGCTGAAATTTTTGGCGGGAAAAAAAATTTTGTCATAAATTTTTGGGCGAAAAAATTTGGCGGGAAATTTTTCGGAAGGAATATTCTTTTTGTTGGAAGGAATACTCTTTTTGTTGGAAAGAATATTCCTTTTCTCATCATGGGTTATAATAAAGGAGGGTAATTTAGTCATTTTGTACATTGAAGAGGGTATTTTTAAAAATGGACACCTAGAGAGGGTACTTTTAGAAAAGGGTATCATAAAAAGGTTAGTTGTGCAAAGGGAATTTTGTGGAGTATGCCACTTCTGAAACTCAAACTTGTTTAAATGCCATTAACCAAAATCTCTTTCAAAACATGCCACAAAGGGGGAACTTTAGACTATTTTGCCCTTGTGCATTGTTGAGTGAGCAATCTAAGAGAGCATTAAATGAAAACAAGGTAGGCTAATATCCAAAGGATATTCGATTAATTAAAGAATTTAAAAATAAAACTAAAAGCAAAAACTAAATACAAGATGTGTTAATAAAGGACAAATAACCTAGAGATTTTATATGAGTTGTCCATCAAATAAATAAGCTTGGATGTGTAGGGATGTCCACTTGCCTATCGATGTATGCACTATAGTCGATAGACAATCTATAAAATGAAAAAAATGGCGGACAAGTAAGTAATATATGATGGACAAAATATAAAAGTAGATCTGGCCTATCGAAAACTTATTTTGACAGATTCCGAGGAATAACTCTGCTGCATGTCTTCTCACGTGTGGTTAGTAGACTTTGTACTCAGACAAGGTTTGCTTAGGCTTTCTTAAACCGGTGAAGGACAAACACAAAGAGATGAGTTAGAAGAAGATATGGACAACTGTGTTGATGGCCATGTTTGATGCAGTAGATCTGGTCCATCGAAATTTACATTGAGGAGTTGTGAGAGATAACTCTTATTTGGGTATCGAGACCAAGAGTTTGGTCCTCCACCATGAACATTCTATAGAAGGACACAAACAAAGTTTAATATGGTGGACAAAAATATGAAGTAGATCTGGTCCATCGAAAGCTTACTTTGACGGTTCCGAGGGACTTCTCCACTTCTGTCCTCCGACGCAGAGTGAGTAGGCTATTGTACTCCAGCAAGGATTGCATAAGTTTTCTTAAACTGGTGAAAGACTAACAAAAATAGATAAGTAGTAAAATATATGGACAACTGTGTTGATGGACATGTTAGGTGTAGTAGATCTGGTCCATCGAAACTTACATTGAAGAGTTTTGAGAACAACTTTGTTTGGGTATCTGGCCATGAGGATCTCCACTGTGTGGAGATCCGGAATGTTCATTTTCGTGTTTCCCATCTTCCATCTCAGAATATTGAACTAGATCGAAAGTAAAACGTGATGGGAGCAAATTGTGAAAACAAAATTATTAGGAAAAGTTATGTGTTTGCAGAATATGAGTAGTCAAATCTGGAGAAGAAAACTGTGCAGAGAAAAAAAAAAGAGAAATTAAGTTGTTTATTGTGAAAGGGGCAAGAGAAAAAAAAAGAGAAATTAAGTTGTTTATTGTGAAAGGGGCAAAATCGTCATCTGATATGGGTCTTGTAGCAGGCGGGAGAAGCTTTGAGAGAAAATGGCACTACATAAAAACTTGTGCACTGTACATGGCACTAAATATAATTTTCTCTTGTGCAAATCTCCCTTATTAATTTATGATATTATTGGGACTATATTTTACATGGAGATTTCAAAAAAAAATATTATCTTACTATATTATCGAATTTGGTCAAATTTTACATTGGCCCGACTTGGGACCAACAAAATTTATTAATTTATTAATTTATAGTATTTATTAACTTATAGAGTATTAATTTATAGAGGTTTTACTGTATATGTAAATATTCTCCCGCTGTAGCAGGGATCCGATCCTAGTTATTCATCAAAACAAAAGAACAAAGGAATATTTAGTATGGTGGTTTAGACTAACATTAATTATAAAAAGTGACAAGACAAAATAATAGACAATAAATTGATGGCAAACAAGAATTTTCAAAAATGAACAATAAAATGATGGACAATAAACAAGAATTTTTAACGACTAATAATAAAATGAGGTATCTAGTTAGACTTTTAATATTATTATCCGTGAATCTAACACTTGTGTTCATCAGCTGGTTAGTAAATTTAGAAGATGGAAAAAATAGTTAGCAAGAAGATTTTACCTACAAATGAAAGTGAACTAAAATTGGTCGATTGATAAAATGTTTACAAGCTTTGGTCTATCGAATACTATATGATTTGATCATGAACACTTATGTCATTTTCTGGTCGATCTTTGTTAGACACTGACTAGTTAGGAGATGTAGAATGGACAACAAGTAGAAAGAAAAAATAAGCAAATTGAGCATACCGAATCTAATCCATCGAACCACAGTAAATGAAGAATGGCTAACATAGGTTGCAAAAATACAACATGCATAAATGATTGCAGATTAAATTTGGTTGATCGATAAAATGTCATTAAATCTATTCCACTGGATATAATGTTTGTATGTCAACTAAAAAATATTATTAAATAATTATTCAATTTGTTTATTGTGTTTAAATTGTGCAGAGTTCAAATATATATTTTATTATCTGGATATGACACTAACGAAAGTGGATTTACAAAAATGGCACTGGCAATAAAGAATTAAAGACTACAGTAAAATTTCTATAAATTAATACTCTATAAATTAATAAACACTATAAATTAATAAATTTTACTGGTCCTAAGTCGGCATGTACATATAGTCCTAATAATATCATAAATTAATAATCACTATATATATATATATATATATATATATATCAATGTATGTTTTTTTTTAAATGAATTTTCTCCTAGAGTTCACCTCGATAAATAATTTTATGTTAGTATATTTTTAAACAATAATCTTGTAAAATACTCCATCACAAGTCGTAAAAATAACCAAATTTTCTTTATGTTTTCACTTATAAAATATGCATCATATTCATTTTTTATATCTATAATGTTAAAATATAACAATTGAGGTTATTAATCATACATTTGAATTTATGAATATATTTGTATAAGTGAATTTATCTATGATATTTGTACTTTATAGTCAAATTTCTGTTTTCTAAATATAATATTCATTTTCAAACTATGATTTATAATATCTATAAGAGTAGTCTTATTTTTGTAAAATTGTGTCAATGCATGTTTTTAGAAAAAAATTAAAAATTTAAAATACCATTATAAATTAATAATTTACACTATAAAATAATAAATATTAATTTATAAATAAATTAATATCTATATAAATTAATAAAATATCATAATCTCAACATTATTAATTTATAGAGGTTTTACTGTACTACGGTTAGAAAATATCTCTATGTAGTAAAAGTGAATTTGTGTTGAATCTATCTTTGTGCTAGTTGTTTTTTTAAAAAAACCTTCAAAAACGAATTTGTAATGAAAGACAAGAACCACTCTTCAAAGGTCATAATTTTCAAGTCTTGTTTTTGAAGAAGAATTTTTAACAGTCATTTACTCCAAAAAAAAACTTTATAACTAAAGACATCATTTTAAACATTATAAATACATCATTTTATTGAATGCTCTTTTTTCCTAGAGAGACTTGTACTATTTATAACTGGGATATGTCTTTGCTTTTGAATACATATGTATATCTAATAAATACACAAAAATCACAAAGATCTTAACATCTTATTGTTGACGAGAGGGATACTTATTTATCCCCAAAAATGACAAGAGCCCTCTAGGCTCTAGTGATCTCTCCCCTTATCTACCTTTTTCTTTGTTTTTTTTTCACAAAAAATATACTTCGTACGTGGGAGATAAGTGCTTCAGCTTCATAGATTTGCTAAAATGCTCCTAATCTCACTTGCCAGACTCATCTCTGAAAGCTTTCCTATAAAAGGGGACTTTGCATTTCATGATGCACTTGAGATCTTTCAAGTTGCCTTTGAGGATTTCAACCACCTAATTTTCAAGATAAAGGGATATCAAGACCAATGCGGTTTCTTTACTTGTTAGACAAGGAACTTTGTTAGGTACCTGACTCATCCCTGGCCTCTCTATTGATGATTGTTGGATTGATAACGCAGCAGCCAAAAGCACAAGTTTTATCTGCCTCCACTCGTAATCTCCCGCCAGCGATGGATCGATCAGCTCTCTTATTTTGTTCTTCTTCATCAATGGTTTAGCCTAAGAAACAAAAAGGGAAGGAACTAAGAACAAATGTAGAATTTCAAGGGTTTGCTTACCCCGAAATTAGTCAGGTGCTTTGTCGAAACCCCGATGCCTAGTGCTAAAAACACGCGATAGCTCCAGAAATCTAAAAAACAAAGGAAAGAACTTACCCATAAAACAAGACTTTGCTTGGAGTAATCTAGAGCTCTTCGTCCAGTAACTAGTTCTAGTAAAAGTACACCCAAGGCAAAAACATCGGTCTTTTCATCTACTATTCCATGTGTCAAGTACTCTGGAGCAAGATATCTGATACAGTTGAATGCAAAATATATCTTTGAGACCTTCTTGATCAAAAATTAAAAACCAATATCCAAGAAAAAATTATATATAAAGCGTAGACTCACCCGAATGTACCCTCAAACTTGGAAACAATATGGTGTGTCCAATGTTCAGGTAGCCACTTCGCAAGGCCAAAGTCACATATCTATAACCGCAAGACATTTTCATTACATGTCAAGGAATTGAAAGTATATGTTTTTTACTTTCTAAGCATCATTTATCGTATAGTACCTGAGGCGAAAAATCATGTGTAAGAAGAATGTTTGCAGCCTTAATATCTCTATGTATGATTCTCCTGTGACATCCTCTATGAAGATACACCAAACCTTCTGCAACTCCTAATGCTATCTTGTACCTAATGCTCCATTTCATCTTCTCCTTGGAGCCTATAATATATCATAACCAATTGATAAACAAAATAACCATTAAGATGTATGAGAGAAAAAAGGTAAAAGAGACATACTATAAAGCATAGAAGCTAAGCTGCCATGAGGTGATAACTCAAGAACAAGATGCATTCCTCCTTCAACCCCATAGCCTAAAAGCTTAGCTATGTTTGGATGGTTAACATGTGCCATTATTCCCATCTCCGATAGAAAATCCACAATGATCTCTTCACTGTTTCCTCGCATTAACCGTTTTATCGCTACCATTTGTCCATTTGGTAACGTCCCTTTGTAAACTTCAGCATAACCTCCTTTCCCAATTAGATTCTCTATTCACATCCAACAAATTTTTCTTTCATCAGTTCCACAAATTCTACTAATTCTTCATAACAATTGCAATCATAAAACATTTAGACACACTCAAGACTCATTCAAAACATTTAGACTCTATTCACATCCAACAAATTTTGCTTTCAGTTCCATAATTTTTACTAATTCTCTATAACAATTGCAATCATAAAACATTTAGACACATTCAAGACTCAAGATAACTACAAAAACTTACCTATAAAGATTTTGCTAACTGTCACACATGTTTGAGTTACAACTTTATAAATAGATTCAAGATTGTAAAGAGGAACAAATCAAGATTTAGTACGAACCTACAGCAAAATTGTTTGTAGCAGACTTGAGGTCAGAGAAGGTAAAGATTCTTCTAGGAGAGTGTAGAAGAAAGTGAGAATCATTGGAACCAAATCTGAAACTCTCCCTCATGCTACTGCATCTTCTTAAAGAGTTCTTGATAACTCCACTTTCTTGAAATGGAATCTTGAAGTTTTCAAGAGACTTCTTGGATCTGCTTCTCAAAAGCTGAACCAACTTGCCGAAACGAGAAGGGTTCTTCACCGTCTCCGAGGAGCTGCTACCAAACTCTTCTGTTCTGAAGAACTCTTCAAGAACTCCGGTCGGAGATGAAGAATCTTGAACTTGAACTTTCATCGTAATGCTCTGAAGAAGAAAGACAAAACTGGTTTGAATTTGGACAGACACATTTTGAACTTGAAGCGGCGCATTTTTTTTCTTTATTTTTCCGCTAAAAAAGGTAAAACTAATTAAATTCTATTCTTTTTACTAATAAAAATATAAAATATTTCTCTTTTTGTTGTTGTTGTTTGTTGTAAAAGACTAAAAGACATAGAAATTTTGCAAGCAAAGTTAAGAAAAAGAAACATCAAAAGAGAGAGAATCTTTTTAGCTAGTGCACCGACAAATGTATAATAAAACTATTTTGTATAAACCAATTTTGGTAATTGAGTGACACAAGTACACATTATGCATGAGAAAGTAAACAAGTAAGTTAAATCTTTTTTTTATTTTTAATGTTGGATAAGCAACACATACTTTAGAGAAACAAAGAAGGTCAAATATCAATTGTTTTATTTTCTTATGCATATCTAAACAAGTTTAATTCGATATTAAATTGTTATCAAATAAGAGTAAAGCAAGAAATAAATTACTTAGAAAAAAAAATATGATGCTAAATCTAAGAAAAGCACAAGCACATATCTTAAAATAGAAAATATACCATGTAAGAGGAGAAACCAAGTACAATTGAAACTTTATTGTGATGGATGAAGTGAGCTAGAGAGAGTAAATTGTGGAGGAGACTATCACTTCAGGTATGATAAACCATCACTTTCTTACCAAAATATATAGGACAGTCACAGCCCAATGTTTGTCCTCTTTTAATCATCAAGATGATATAGACAGATAAAAAATGTAAAACAGAAAATATAATTTTCTTAAGATGTTTGAATTATATTTTTTTTTTAGAAGAGAGTTGAAAATTGAATATTAAAGAAAATTTTCAATTTGTGTTACAGAAAGAAAATATATAATTTTCATTATACACTCAACTTTTTATATTGACGGCTTTTTCTGTCATTTTTTAAATTAGTGAACGGTAAATAAACATTATCCTAAGCAAATACTTTAATTTTCTCAAATAGTAAAACTTTATTTCAACATTATGAGTTTTTTTGAATAAATTTAAATAATAGTATACTCCTATATATTTAAGATTTTGACATTTTTTGAGGAATAAAAAGAATAGCAATGAAGTAGGTAAGTTTATATATTAATTAGCAAAATTATAAATTAAGTTTTGTACCATTGATCAGTTTTACAAAATTCATTATATACTGTTGACGAAATTAATTATAAAACGTATGAAACAATTTAAACAATTCCTAATGAAGTTAAAAAGTGAGGAATACTTTCGTGTTTTGCCATGTTTTACACTTTGGTACATATGAAAAAAAAAGCCATGAATGATGTCTTTGAATTAGAGTAATCTCCACAAGACACGTTAGTATTATTACTCAAAAGAATGTGAAGGTTTACGTCTAATTCCAAAAAACAACTAATGAAAAAATATTGTGATGGTTCACCTAGGCCTGGCTGTTCTGCATACCCATTCAGGTTTGGTCTGGGTATTTTGGGTTTTCAGATTTTCGAGTATAAAAATATAGAATTTGTTCAGATATTTTTAGAATTTGGATTTGAGTTAGGTATTTTGGGTTCGGATTTGTGGATTACCCAAAATTTTCAAAACTCAAATTTTGAGGACCGAAATGTGTTCAAATTTTTATAAAAAATCTCAAAACTTATATATTTTTTTTGACAAAAATTTACTTAGAAAAGAGTTCATTACTTCAAAAAATCCAAAATATACAAAACCTCAATAATTTTGACATTAGATTATTACGTGTATATATATATATATACATATATATATATATATTATATTTATATTATGGGTGTATTCGGGTATCCGTTCTGGTTTTGATTAGGATCGGTTGCGGGTTCGGATTTTTGGGTTTAGAGATAAAAATCGTTCGGATATTTAATTCGGGTTCCGATCGGATTTTTTGGATTGGGTTCGGATCGATTTTTTGGGTTCGGTTATTTTGCCAAGGCCTAGGTTCACCAAAGAGTGCAATGCTATTTCCAATCAATACTTACCTATTGGGTAGATAAATTTTGGAAATGCAGTGATGCAACTAGATAGATCTCCAAAAGAGTCGTCGAGGTATCTCGCACTCCACTAGACACTAGCTTCTTTTTTTAGGAGATTTGGGGCCTAAGGCTTTTAATTTTCCTAAGATTTAGGGAAAATCGGATAAATATCTAATACTTTTGTGTTTGATAGAAATCAATCTCTGGCCTACACTAACCCTTCTCTCTAGTGGAAACTACTAAACAAGTCTAAAACCATTTGGTTCTATACTTTTACTTTTTAGACAATGCATTGTCTTATACACGCACATGTATAGTAGATAGAGATAATGATGGGGCTATGAGTGATACATAGTAGATCCACCAATCTCCAAACAAATATGAATGACTTATAACGTATCTACCAAACCATAATCATTTTAGAGTAATTAAGGGACTTTTCTTCGAGATGAAGTTACATTAATATAGACTAAACCATCATTAGATTGTCATTAGTTGTTGTTTACGTCTTACGTGGTACACAAATCATACCGAAGGATACTTTAAGAGCAAATCAAGGCATAATTATTATAACCATCACTTATTTTTTATATTTTACCTTCTTTTTTTTTTCAGCGACTTAGAAATGTTATTGGTTTGTGATTTAAATAGAGTTCTAATGACTTAAAACGTTAGGTAGACTTTTTGTTATTTAATCCAGATTTTTAAAAACTCTTGCAAAATTTGGTGTTGTTAGTTTTTGATATGTAAAAGGTAAGAAGTAATATAAAGTTTTCATAATCTAGAGTTATTGGATCTTACTTTCGATAATTTACTAGGCTAATTAGTTATCGATTAGTTAACAAATCTTGATAGAAGTAGAGATTCTAATCAAACCAAGACATCGTAGTTGGTTTAAAACACTATATTTTTGTTTCTTTATATAGTCTCATCAACTTAGAAATACGATCTCTTCACCAATTTTGGATGGTTAACGTGGAATTTTATTTCTTCGGCGTCATTTTATAGGGTCATGATGAATTCAAGTTGGACTAGCAAACTCATCTTATTTGATCTCTTTTGTGCTTTACTTAGCTTGTCATACTCTCTTTTTCTTCATTTTTCCTTTGTGTAAACTTGTTTTCCTCTAATACATACAGTAAAACCTTTATAAATTAATAAAGTCAGGACCATGAAATTCTATTAATTTAGAGGTATATTTTCCTAATTTGGTAGACTTTCCAAAATAATATATTTAAAAATAAGATTTACTCGTTATAAGTTATAACTAAGTGTTTTAGAATTCAATTACAAGGAAAATAATAATTATCATGTTTTAAAAAAGAACATAAATTTTTTATATGGTTAAAATATTAGAAATAAGCTTTCAAAAAAATATTGTCTATATTAGACATATATGTATATATTTTATTTTATATAACTATTAATTTATTATATTGTTGGGACCATATGGTTACATAAGATTTCAAATAAAATTATTATCTTATTATCTTTTTTGACATCTATTATCTTATTATTTTATCGAATTGTGTCATTTATTACACCGGTCCAACCCGAAGAATTTATCACTTTATAGAGGTTATTAATATATCGAGTATTAATTTATAGAGGTTTTAATGTATTAGGTCAAGCTAATTTATTGGTTAAGTGCTTAACATAAGATTTGACTAACTTAATCTCATTGTAATGGGACGAAGTTGTGAATCTCCATAACAAGATTGTGCCAATCTCTCTCCCAAAATTAAAAGTATTACTTACCATCAATTTCTTCAGTTATGTTGCAGAAATTGTTAGTGTTCAACTTACTGTAAACAATGAGTGTAAGCATGTGGGGCTTTGGTTTTGTTGAAGTTTTGGTTCTAACAAATAAGGCTGTGGAAGAGAAGAATGGTTGCTTGCCAGCAAAGATAAGTCGCTGTTGGTCCGGAGGGATTCCTTCTTTGTCTTGAATCTTAGCCTTGACATTGTAAATGGTGTCAGAGCTTTCAACCTCAAGAGTCTTAACGGTAAGACCATACCTTCCTTATGGTCTAACAGGCAAACATTGAATCAATTTGACTAATTTAAAGAGATCATGTATCTAACTAGCTAGGAGATGATAATAATAATACAAGAAAGGAACAAGGAACAGGACATAAGTTTATGTTTTGATCACAGGATGTTTTGTCTAAACTACACAATGCTTTAATAATGTTTTAAAAGATGGTCGTGGAAGTATATGTACATGTATAGTTGTATTGTATGTGGAGGTAACTAAATATGTTATATTTTTGAAATTAACGTAAATCTTAAATTTGATATCACCATGCATCTTTCTGTGCATAATGAATAATGATCTCCTTAAATATTAATTATTGATTATTATAGAAAATAAAATTAAAAAACATGATGAAGTCGAATAATATAATCCCAATTACTAAAAGAGAAAAGATCGAAGTTAACACTCGAGAGAAGCCATAGTTCTTGTTCAAAAGCTTCCACCGCGGAGACGAAGAACAAGGTGAAGAGTAGACTCTTTCTGGATATTGTAATCTGCAAGTGTTCGACCATCTTCGAGTTGTTTACCGGCAAAGATTAGTCTCTGCTGGTCCGGTGTGATCCCTTCTTTGTCTTGAATCTTGGCCTTCACGTTATCAATCGTATCAGAGCTCTCGACCTCTAGAGTGATGGTTTTGCCCGTCAAAGTCTTGACAAAAATCTGCATCCCACCACGAAGACGCAGCACTAGGTGAAGTGTTGACTCCTTCTGGATGTTGTAATCCGCTAGGGTTCGGCCATCCTCGAGTTGCTTGCCAGCGAAGATAAGTCTCTGCTGGTCTGGTAGGATCCCTTCCTTGTCTTGGATCTTGGCCTTGACATTGTCTATTGTGTCTGAGCTTTCAACCTCCAGTGTTATGGTTTTTCCGGTAAGGGTCTTGACGAATATTTGCATGCCACCACGAAGACGAAGAACCAAATGCAGAGTTGACTCCTTCTGGATGTTGTAATCCGCAAGTGTCCGACCATCCTCGAGTTGCTTGCCCGCAAAGATAAGTCGTTGTTGGTCCGGAGGGATCCCTTCCTTGTCTTGGATCTTGGCTTTGACATTGTCAATGGTGTCAGAGCTCTCAACTTCTAGAGTAATGGTTTTGCCGGTGAGAGTTTTCACAAATATTTGCATGCCACCACGAAGACGAAGGACAAGATGAAGGGTTGACTCCTTCTGGATGTTGTAATCAGCCAAAGTACGACCGTCCTCGAGTTGTTTACCTGCAAAAATAAGTCTCTGCTGGTCCGGAGTGATGCCTTCCTTATCTTGGATCTTCGCCTTCACATTGTCAATCGTGTCAGAACTTTCGACCTCAAGAGTTATGGTCTTGCCCGTAAGGGTCTTAACAAAGATTTGCATGCCTCCTCTCAACCTAAGAACCAAGTGTAGAGTTGACTCCTTCTGAATATTGTAATCCGCCAAAGTACGGCCATCCTCAAGTTGCTTCCCCGCATAGATAAGTCTCTGCTGGTCCAGTAGGATTCCTTCCTTGTCTTGGATCTTGGCCTTGACATTATCAATGGTGTCGGAGCTTTCAACTTCAAGAATTATGGTCTTGCCAGTTAGAGTCTTAACAAAGATTTGCATGCCACCTCTCAACCTAAGAACCAAGTGAAGTGTTGACTCCTTCTGAATATTGTAATCAGCAAGGGTTCGACCATCCTCGAGTTGCTTGCCCGCATGGATAAGTCTTTGCTGGTCCGGTAGGATTCCTACCTTGTCTTGGATCTTGGCCTTGACATTGTCAATGGTGTCAGAGCTCTCAACTTCTAGAATAATGGTTTTGCCGGTGAGAGTTTTCACAAATATTTGCATGCCACCTCTCAACCTAAGAACCAAGTGTAGAGTTGACTCCTTTTGAATATTGTAGTCAGCCAATGTACGACCATCTTCAAGTTGCTTGCCTGCAAAGATAAGCCTCTGCTGGTCCGGAGTAATACCTTCCTTATCTTGGATCTTAGCCTTGACATTGTCAATCGTGTCAGAGCTTTCAACCTCAAGAGTTATGGTCTTCCCGGTAAGAGTCTTAACAAAGATCTGCATACCTCCTCTCAACCTAAGAGCCAAGTGGAGAACAGACTCTTTCTGAATATTGTAATCAGCCAACGTAAGGCCATCGTCTAGCAGCTTACCAGAAAAGATAAGTCTTTGCTGGTCTAGAGGAATCCCTTCTCTGTCTTGAATCTGTGCCTTGACATGGTTGATGGTGTCGGAGCTTTTAACGTCAAGGGTTATGGTTTTCTCCGTAAGAGTCTTTGCGTGGATTTGCATCATCGTATTAATCTAGAAACAACACAAAACAAAAAAAAGTTAAGTATCTCCCAAAGCTTTTTACACACGCAAAAACGAGAAACCCTAAGACTAGCAGTAATAGTAAACAGACCGTAACAGAACCAAAAGTTCAGACACAGAAGCTGAAGAGATCAGAGAAATATAAACCTTGAGAGAGGACTTGAATTGAGAAAACTTTTCTTGCAGAGCAATTTAGGGTTTGCTATTGCGAGAGAGGAACAAGAATGATTATACAAGGAGAAGACAAGGTAAGGTCTGTTTATATAGGTATCTTCACACCGCCTTTGGTTAAACTTAAAAGGAATACATAAATCTAATTGGAAATATTAGCTTTATAAAGAGGAATACATAAATATAATTGGAAATATCACATTTAATAATAAAAGGAAAAATCTGTTGTCAAAAAGGAATTTTTTGCCTTATGTAATTATCTTAAGACGCACGTAATGTAAAATTGTTAAGATTGTATAATTAACATAGTTTTGATAAGTTTTGGGCACAAAGACCAAAGTTTTAGTCTTAAGCTAGTTTTGTTAATCAATTGTACGTATAACGTTCCTAGAAGTGAATATTTTTTGATGTGTATTCAAATTCATACAATACATTTTGAATAGAAAAAAAAAAAAAAACATAGAAGTTACCATGACGCAGTGATGGGTTACTTGTGAATTTAGTAACAACAACAACGTTAATATAACAATCAAACCGTAGAAAACAATTGTGAAAAATATACATGAATTATCTTGTCATCATATTCATATACAGAGACTATTTTTTATGTGGTAACAATTGAAAACAGATATTTTTCTGTACAACAAACTCACCATGGAAACATTTGTATACCCACAGAGAGATAAGGGAGAGAAGGAGTGAGACTGAAGAATCGTTTTGTTTTGCGTAGGTACTTACGGGTGATTTTTAGCCGAGGTAAGGTAGCATTGGGTCCAAGCCTAGTCCTGAACCACCCAAACTACCTGGGTCTGCATGCTTTACCCTCCCGAAATAGCGTATGTGACGCAGGAGCCTTGCGAGGAACGTGTTGTGGCAGATTGTGGAGCTATCGCATACCACTGCCACGTGTTTCCGGGCTCTTGTTATGGCTACGTTCATCCGTCTGCTATCCCCTAAGAATCCCACTGCACCTAGGTTGTTCGACCGTACCTATAATGGGGTTGTACATGAGTCTTACTATGAGTTCTTTGATGAAAACCATACCGACAAGTCTGTTAATCAGTTTTGGTTTTCACAATCAGGTTTTACTAACAGATAAATGGATTCATAATCTTATCTCTCTCTGTTTCATTACTATTTGCTAGAATTTTAATTCATGGAATCTCTTCTCAAAGCAGGTTCCTATATAGTTAAGGGATCCAGTTTCCAAGTTATGAGCAGACGAAGATAATGTATTCATGCTATAAAAGGGAACAAGAGAAGAATAATGTGTACCATTGAGATGATAACTGCATCAGCCTCTCGCCCTTGAAAGCTGTCAATGGTTGCGACCTCAACTCCATCAGCCACTGGAAACTCGTCAAGCCTTTCCCTGAGAAGCTGAACCTGAGCAACATATGGGGACTGAACAGCAATAGCCATTGGACTAACACCTGCAATCATGTCCAACGAGTTGTTTATTAGGTTATCGAGCTTATATCCAGGAACGCAATTAATATGCGTGAATCTTCGATTCTTCAAACTTTGGCAGGTTATTGAGATACAACAACTTGAATATATCAGTCATTGAACTGTAAATAGAACGCTCACCTGCATATATCAACGAAATGACGTGATTAACCACAATATCTGCTTCTCCTTCATTGTATAATGACCCTGTACCAGCTGGATCTAGACGCTCCTCGCACCCCACTGATAAACTTCCATATGGCATTCTTGTGTCAAGCAGAACCAGTGGGCATTGTGTTATCCAAGTAGGCTGCAGTTAGTTAAAAAAAGAAGATGATGTTACATGTAAGAGTCATAGGGTTACCAAAATGCGTCTGATCTACAATGAGATTGCACATTATTAGACATTCAAAGGTAAGTTCATTTGTGACAGTATTTATTTTTATCCAATCTAATCACAAGCAAAACGAGAGGCAAATCATCTATTGCAAGCTCAGGAGCAGCATCACTTCTCAACGAGGCCATAAAAAAGCTGTAAACATTTACTATTACAACCCCAAGCAAAGATAATATTATGAAAGATAAAACGACAGAGTTGCTAAAGAAACCTATAATGCTTTACTGGAAGTTTTCTAAAGAATAAAAGGTAACAGATGTGTGATTGCATGCCAGGTTACCATCAAACAGCAGAAAGAGTAAAAAGATGTACCTTCACAAAAGGAGAATCGATAAGCAGATGAGAGGCCACACTTGGAGCAGATTTCAACCATCCACCATACATCTCCTTTGATGCCCAACCAGCAATTACATCATTCATACGATACTGAGTTGTTAATTTTGTCGCAAGAACTCCATTATGCAAAGATGCAGCTCTTTCCAGTAAGGATACACCAAGCCCACCTTCTAAAGCTTTACGAGATAGAACAACTGGTGCTAATTGGCATGGATCACCGGAAAGAATACAACGTTTCCCTTGCAATATTGGGATCCAGCATGAAGGCTCGATAGCCTGACCAGCTTCATCTATTACAACCAAATCAAATGTTTCTAGCCTCCTAATCAAAGGATCAGCTGCTCCAATGTTAGTGGCAAAAACAACCTGTGCATTTGCTAGTATTTCCTTCACGGTCTCCTTTTCCTTCTTCTTCAACGTCTTTCCAAGCTGTTTCAAGAGCTGCCGAATGCCAGCTGCAAGAACATCATCCCTCAGGCATTGCCGAAGGTCTTTTCTTAAGTCTGACTTCTTCCTCTCCAACTCTGCTCGGAAGCTTGCCAGCTTAGAGTTCACAATTTCCCCCAAAGATTTTGAAGCAACAGCAGATGATATTCTTGCAGGATTTCCTACTCGGACAATGTTTAGTCCGAGATGCAAGAGCTTCTCCACCATATTATCAACAGCTGCATTAGTAGGTGCTGTTACAAGTACTCTTTCCCCCTGTTGAACCGCAAGGGTAATGACCTCCTTAAGCATTCCAGTCTTTCCCGTGCCAGGAGGTCCTTGAACTATCATAACAGGCCTTTTTTTGTTTACTCCAAGAGCTATGGCTCTCCTTTGGGAATCATCAAATAACTTACCCACTGGCTCATCACTCAACTCTGCCTCACTCCAGTCTACGTAATCCTTCTGCTCCAGCCATTCTATATCTTCCCCGTCCCCAAATAAAGTCGCCACTACAGAAATTGATGGATTTTTCTTCTGCAGACCATTCTTCTGAAGAAGCATTAGGGCTTCGCAGTTACGCTGTAACAGAAGACTACAATAAGCGAGTAGCAGAAATAAAATAGTGATGCAAACAATCAATATTTGAGCACACACTTGCAATAATGGGACATGGCAAGCATATTAAAGATGGAAGATACTGGGATTAAACAACGCATCTTCAATCAATATGGAACAAAGATTTACCTCATAAGTTAGGGCATCGGCCAACCCATGAATACGATCAATTCTCACACTTTTCCCGAAGAGCTTGGAGAAAGTAGGATCGCCATGACGAGATTCTAGAGCCACACCTATGCTACAGCCATCTTCTCCAAGGTTGTGAACAAACCCCTGCGTACAGGCAGTTGCTCCAGCACCTCTACTGTCACAAATTCTTATGCAAACCATGTCACCAGGGGAAAGTGTAGTAGGAGGAAGACGGTGGTTTCCCCCAACCTTAAACAACACCAAGTGCATACCTCCGAGCCCTGTATATTGATTGCAAATTACTAAAATTTCATCGAAAACTCAGAGAAAAAATTGCAACAAAATGCATATGAATTATTGACTAACAAATGAAAAAGAGTATCGCTATCAGGCTAAGTCTTACCTGTGGAGGTACTAACTGCATACAAATTGCAAATTGTATCACAAAGTTCTTGTGGAGCATCACCATGCCTAACCAAGAACTCAATCGGTTTTGAGGAATCAGAGCGCTCATCTGGAGTAGGGATAACATCTAGTTCCTCCTGCGTGACTTCCAGTTCTGTATCTCGTTCCACTTGAAGCAACTGCGACATCTGGCTAGTGAACTCATCAATCCTTCCCTGTATAGCCTTCACCTTCTCTGAGTCCAACCCAAAAACTCCTTGAACAGGCTTTGGTTGAGCAGCTTTGCGAGCAACCTCCCGATGCTGAGCTGTACAACACCATATAAACCAAAACTTCAAATTCAGATAAACTATACACTGATAAGTACTAAGAAAATGATCAACTAGCATATTCATATTCAAACCTGAATTTGCTATCTCCTTGAGCAGCTTCCAAGACTCAGTCTCCTTCCAATTCTCCATTACATTCTTCCGCTCAAGGTCTTGAAGAACATCACGCAACTCTCTCTGGAAATGATCAAACAAGGTCGGATAATGTGTACAAGCCTTCAAACAAACGACTTCAGAACCTAACGGCATAGGAATAGCATTAAGATATGGCTGAGCCTGAATCACAAACGTCAAACCAGATCCCACCGTCTGCCTTAACTCCAAAAACTCCCCTTGAACCTCCGCAGTAGCAAAATCCGAAGCCATAGCCTTCATAGCTTGACTAATCCACTTCACTACGTTTCTCCCTAAATCTCTCCGCCCCAATGGATCACCATTTTGATTCAAAGCACGAAGACTCATCTCTTTATCTCCCTTCTTCCTCGGTCTCTCATCATCTTCCTCTTCCCTAACCTTCTCAACAACAGATTCACTAATTAAACTCACAGATTCACCACTATCGTTCCTCTTCTCGATTTTCCTAGACCTAATCTTATCGGAAACATTACTTTTCCTCCGTGGCTTCTTCTTAGTAGCAGCACTAGAACTAGAACCACCATTAACACCGCTGCAATAGACCTTCCGCGTCGGGATAACACGAACGCCGCCGTTACCATCTC